GCCATCCCCACCACCACCAGCATCCCGGCTCCCTCTTCACCTCCTGGCTCCCCGCTTAGGGCTAAGCTGTCCCGGGGAGGCTGCGTTGCCAACGCGCTCCGGCTCCCGCTGGTTCCTCTGCTCCATCCATCCATCCATCCATCCATCCATCCATCCATCCATCCATCCTTCCATCCATCCTCTCTTCCTATAGGCTAGCGGTACATGCCCGATGCGATACGGTGGCAGTTGGGGTCCTTGCCTATAGCTGCCTGTTTTACAAAGCTCCGATCTGTGCGTGTGCGTGTGTATGTATGTGTGTGTGTGCATTTTATCCCTCCCTCCTATCCCTCCCTCCCTCTCCCCCTCTCTCTCTCTCTCTCTCTCTCTCTCACTCTAATGTGTGATCTGGAAAGCTTATAAAAGCCTGATGTAATCCTTAATGCAGCCCCTGGCTACAAAAAGACTGGATCTAGTTTCACAGAGAGAGATTCAGAAGCAGAATTTGGAAAGAAAAAAAAAGGGAAAAAAAAAAAAGTGGGGGGAGAAGAGAGAGAAAGAAAGAAAAGCAGACGAGTGGATTTTAAACAAACATATCTTTCTGAAGAAGACCATTCTTGCTCTTCGCTGCTGGGAAAGCTACTCTGAACCCTGCTGTATATTTTTTTTTAAAGGAGAAGACTTGATTGTCTGCTTGGATCTAATGATTTACTGGCTTTTAACTGCGTTTTTCCCCTCTCCTAAGGATTCCTCAAAAACCGGCTTAATTATTTTCAGCTTTTCTCTTCCACCTGCCTGTCCGCAGAGACACCAAAGGTTCTCCCTTCCTCTCCCTCCCCACCCCCATTTCTTTTAGGATTTTTTCCCCCCCTTTCCCGTTTAATATATACATATATATATATATATAAAGTGTGTATGTATATATATATGTAGAGGCGAGAGTGGAGGGAGCGGAGGGAGAGAGAGAGAGAGCGAGCTCTGCCATCCTTTTGGACTTCACGCGCTGCCCAATGTTGGGCTGGTTACCCCTGGATATGTTGCTGGTTTCCATTTGGAATTTGACAAAGGGAAGAAGGAGGATATAAAACCTGGGGAGCTCTGCAAGGTAAGGGGCTCCCGGCCACCCTTCCTTCTTCCTCGGAGGGGGAGGGAGAGAGGGGGGGGGACACACGACTTCTCCAGTCTGCGCTTTTTTCTCGAGTGCAGGGTGGTGGTGGTGGTGGTGGGGGGGTGTCTCTCTCCATCCCTAGGGGAGACAGGGATGGGGGGCAGCGGTGGGGGACCAATTCCTCTGCTTTTTTTTGCCCCTGGAAAACAGCACCCGGAGGATGTTTTCGCCCCCCCTCCGCTCTGCGATTTGGAAGTGATGGGGAGCATAATCGCTTCCCTGCCATGGGAAGTTTTAACTTTCGTGCATGCGGGTCCTGTGGGCAAACATTGGAAAATATTGATGTCTGCAGGATGCGGAGAGCTGGGGGGGGGGAAAGCATTCGTGTCCTGGGGACCGGATGGTTCCTGG